GAGTTGAGATTTTTTAATCCAACTCAACTTGTTACTTAAATGGGTTGATCTGGATTGACCCATCTTAATTTAAAATTTGAGCAAATTGCATGAAAAAGTAACGTATGTTAACTTGATTAATATTTTAGGTAACTTTAAAACTTTCATTTTGGTATCTAAGATGTAAAGTTTTAAACATTTAAGTATCTGAGTAACCGATTGAAGCATTAACCGGTTACCATGTTGATGTGGTAACTAAGTATTATTTGTTGATCTGGTTAGTGATATGGATTTTTTAATCTAAAATTTGTACTTTTTCTAATCTAAATTAGTCTTCAACCGGCTATCCGGGTACTTAAATGTTTAAAATTTTACATCTTAGGTACCAAAATGAAAGTTTTAAAAATACGTATAAAATAAGGATCAAGTTAAAGTATGTTACTTTTTCATTCAATTTGCTCTTAAAATTTTAAGGAATCAAGTTAAAGTACATTATTTTTTCATACAATTTACCCTTAAAATTTAAAATAAAATAAAAAGTATTAGACTATTTAATTTTCTGAATAAAACAGAACCACAAATACAAATAAATTGTTCAAAGTTTAAATAAAACTTAACCACAATAAATACATTGTTCAAAATAAATTGAAAACCTTTAATTTTTAAGTAACTCGATTTCCATTTTCACCAACTCCAATTTCACTCTGGTATTATTTTCCTCTTGATCCTCTATTTTATTTGTCATGATTGTTCCACATAGAGCATCAAAATGCGATTTCATTTGTACTATAAAAATAATTTAATTAATTAACTTAGTTATAGCAAATACATAATTTTATACGATAATACGAAATATACATATAAAAAATTAGAACAAACTTTCTCTATATTATTATAATTATTATTTATTAATTTGGGGTAAGGAATAAGTTGAGTTAGGGTTGGTAAAGAGGGTTGACGGTTGAGTAGTCGAGAGAAGTATATATACGAAGAGACTCAACACCTTTCCTGATTAGGAAGGTTTGACTTCAGGTGCTTCCTCTCCTATTCTCGGCAACCATTTATTTCCCAACATTAGTATATATACATAATACGGATCGGGTTCTTGTAAGACCAAAGATTTTTTGTGAGACCCGTAAGATCAATTTATGTTCATTGATCAACTTTATAAGCTAATGATTTAATGGTCTAAAGTTGCAGGGTGGCAATTTCGTAATTATTGAGAAGTCTCATGGCAATTTTGTGATTATGAATGTTCAGATTGTAGAACTAAATTCAAGAGTTGAGAATTGGTCTTACAAGTCTTACGAAAAACTTTTGGTCTCACATGATCTCAAGTCTACATAATACAACCTATTTTTATTTAAAAGATATATTTTTTGAAAAGCAAATTCAAATAGAGAGAACGGGGTTAAAAAATGAAACATTACGTCAAAATGAAACTAACTTTGTGTTTATTCTTAGTTTGGGAAACAAATTTTCAAGACCTTCATTATAGGGTGTGAGATAAACTTTCAGTTTATTTAGGATGCGTTTGGTATACTAGACATGATATAACAAAACATGGATCTTTGTTCCATGTTTGACGAGATATGAACAGAGTTGAACATACATGTTTCACTCTTACCATATGAAACAGGGTGAAAGTTACTTATATTTTACCAAAATAACTTCAAAATAAAATTTAATTCTCTTCTAAAACATCAAATAGGTCTTTTTCACATTTTTTAAATTTTATTTATTGTATTTCATGTTTTTTAAACTTTTATTTTATTGTCTTCAAAATAGTATTTTTATACAGTTTCTATATTTTTTTAATTTATGTAATTTATTGTATATTAATAATAAAAAATTATGTAGAAAAGGGATAAAAATAAAAATTAGAAACTACATAAACTTTTTATTTTGGTGTCATTTTAATTGTTTTCATGAAAACTTTCTAATGATATGTTTTGTTATAAGAAAATAATTATTTTATTATAATTTAATAAATTAATCAAAATATATAAACAACTTATTAAGGGTAAACTGGTCATTTTATTTGTTCTGCTATGTCTAGTTTTATCTTACCAAACGCTAGTTGTTCTGTCATATTTTGTCTGGACTTGTTTACCCCTTCAGCAAGTGACAGATTATCAATCGTTCATTTAATTTGATAAATATGTGATTTTATAAAAGTTTTGATTGTTTCATAATATAAAATATTGATCATAATTAATGAACCCTAATTGTCTTTTATAAACATTCAAATCATAATAAATAAACTCTCATCATTTTCATAAATATCTCAATTGATTGGATTGCATTGGTTGTACAACAACCAATACAACTCAATCTCAACCGTCCATTTAATTTGATAAATATGTGATTTCATAAAAAGTTTAGATTGTTTCATAATATAAAGTATTGATCATAATTAATAAACTCTAGTCATCTTTCATAAAAATTTAAATTATAATAAATGAATTCTCATCATTTTCATAAATATCTCAGTTGATTAGGTTGCATTGGTTGTACAAATGTGATGAGTTGCATATGTGTGTGTGTGTGTGAGAGAGAGAGTTATTACACAATCAATACAACTCAATCTCAACCGTTCATTTAATTTGATGAATATGTGATTTCATAAATTTTTTGATTATTTCTTAATATAAAGTATTGATCATAATTAATAAACTCTAATCATCTTTCATAAATATTCAAATCATAATAAATAAACTCTTATCATTTTCATAAATATCTTAATTGATTGAATTGCATTTGAAACCTGCTCTCCCTTTGTATTATCCTAACATTTTTAATGAAAATATTTCCAACACAAAAGAAAAGGTTAAACAAATATCTGAGCCCACCAGCTGCATGCCGACATCGTCTTCATCTCTTCAAGCCCTTTCTAACAGCAGTTGTAAATACGTACCCAACTCCAGCAACTTTAAATCACCCCCTTAATCTCCGACAACCACCTCTCTTCTTCGTCTCCACCCATCTCCATCAAGATCTGCTACCAATTAACTAGTCTTTCATGGCGGGAGGCGGAGGGTCACCGTCAAGGAAAAACCAACTCACACCACCTCTACCCATTTCTTGTTTACCCACCCACAGGCCTGGCCCTAGCCATGGCCAGCCCATGCAACCGCAAAGGACATCATAAGCCTAAGCGGCATCAATGTTTATGTGTTATTAGCCTTGGTTAATCATTTGGGCGATAAATAGCAAGTTGTCCAAGACATCGACTAAGCGGCTAATCTAATTAAAGAAAGGCATCGTAAACAAGGTTGTCAAACAAGTGAACAACCAAACAGATTCCTATTGTTCTTCATCTCTTAATAAGTTATTTTAAAAATGATTTTTTATTTACAGAGTCATAATATATTCTTTTTATGCACAAAGTCATAATTATATAGCATATTTTCTAAATGCACAAAGTCATAATTATATAGCATATTTTCTAGGTGTATCAAGACGTAACAAATTTTCTTACATGCACCAAAGACATAATACGTATGCACTCCAAAATGAAACTTCTGAAAATAGCCGAAACAAATTATATTTTATTTTATGTGCATTATTCAAGAATTTAAACATAAAATGCTTAATGTAAGATAAGCATGGCATAAAAAACAAGGAGGGATCTATGAAGGCGAACCAGGTCCCGTTACATTTAACCGATTTTCGTAAGTATATTTTTATGTATAAAAGGTGCACCCGTTAAAGTTTAAGCGGTACTACTGGATATTAGAACATATAAGGAACATCAACAAAAAAAAAAAAAAAAAAAAACGTCCCTCGAAATCAACCAAAATCAACAAAAAAAACTTTAAAGAAAATCACTTGAAACAAGGGAATTCGACTAAAAACACATTGGGCAACTTTGCATATATTTGATCCACCTTAAAAGTGCAACCACTCAATACAAGTTCTACATACATCCATGGCTGATCACAAATTTGATATCATGTGGTATAAAGAAATGAAATGATCTATTGACCTTAACGACTTATTTTTGTTCATAGAACAAATAATACCATAACAACTCATCCTTTCTTTAGTTTCGCTAGTATTGATATTTTCTGATCGTCTAAAAAGGTTGGAATGAGCTGCTGTCCAGGTGTAAAGACTGAGAAATTAATAGAGTACAAAACTTATCTTCAAGCTTTACCAGCGGATTGCTGGCGATGACTTGGTGAAGGGAATCTATGAGAAAATGAGTTCATGCCTTTCAATAAGTAGCCAGCTGCGGGCTAAGATAACTGCATTCTGTCTTAAGTCAAGATGTGCATAGAATCTGGTTTATTCCTTTACCCTTGGTCACAAAACTTATTGTTTTTCATAACAATCGAATAAAAAAATCTTACAACACGAACATAAATTCACATGATACAAAAATATAAACAAAAGATCCGGGTAATACCTTCAACATAAAAAAATGCTTTCAAGATCGTAACTAAATGTTTATATAAAGATTTTTTAATATTACCGTGATACATTTTTTATTAAACAAATGTTCTTAAATAAAAAAAGATAATAAACCAAATTACGTAAGTATATCTCACATTGAAATAGTCTAAAGCAAACAACACTCCAATAATAAAGCCTCGAGTAGTATATTAAAATGATAAATTATACACAATACTCGTACATACATGTTTCCAATAAAAACTCTAAATTATAATTAGTCGGCTCACATGGCATGTTGGATATTCAAATTAATTAAAAAAAACTCCAAATTACAAGAATAAATAGCTTAAAGAAATAGACGTTTTAAGATGAGTGGACCCATATGCTGCTGCGAGTGCATACATAAAAACGTGGGTAGGAAGCCTTCATTTTGACACCTGTGAAAATTTACATGAGGCCGCCTGACAAAACCATACTTCAATTTCACTCTTTCTCGCACCAAAATTCATTCCACTTACAATAAAGAAAATTTGTAATCGACATGGTTTCCAAAACTATTCCAGTAAATACCTTTTTTGTGTTTTACCAAAATACAAGGGTGTGATTGTAACATAAGTATAAACAATGATAGTTAAATTCCACTAAAAAATAAGAATAAGAATCCAAAAATGTCACTGAAAAATGACTACTTTTTGACAACAATGAAGCTAACGTTGTGATGAGGAAACACAAGAGTTACAGAGTTGTTTAAGGGTTTCAGGCACTTGTTGCCCGCATTGTTCAAGAACCTTGGCTAACGGTGCTGCAATCGTTGCATCGTCTCTGCTTAATATCACATGCAATTTCCCTTTCATGGTATAACGTCCCATTCCTGCCAGAATATTTTTGTACTCCTCTATCCCGATATCAAAATTATATATAATTACCACCTCAACATCGCTTAAATCGGCATCATCTATATCTTCTGAATCGATCACAGAGACCGTAGGTTCTTTCTCCCTGGCAATATGTGGCTAATTTCTGATTAGTAAATTATTATTTTTAATGTTTTTTACGGTAGATCTTAGAAAAGAAGGTCAAGGAAGTCGTTACCTGTTCACAACTTCTGCACCACAGGACGGTCCATTCATAGAGGCGGAGTAGCCCTTTGACCTAATGGCTGAAACCAACTCCTCAAGATTGTCGTCTTTTCCAACCACAAATGTTAGCTTTGAAGGCCCCGGCACAAGTGGATTACTGAAAACCTCGTTCAGAACTCGGAGACCCTGCATCAGTAATTCAGGATGTGAAAACTTAAGCATCTTGGAACATTTTGGGATAATACGAGGCACTTATGCACAAGCCAGGGGTCTTTGCAGAAACAACCACTCTACCCTCTGGGGGAGAGGGCAAGTCTGTGTACATCCCACCCCTGGCCCACCTAGACTCAGAATTCAAGGGGTATATCATGAGTAATTAGTTGATTTAAAAAATCTAATGATTACATATTTCTAAAATTGTGTTCTTTTTCATTGCCAAGGTTTATTTTGGAATGAAGGAAGTGATGTTACAGACCTTTTGTAATCTTTCCTCTGCTGAGCCAACCACGTCAACGGACTGGATTATGCCTGCGCTCTTGTTAACAAAGAAATCCTCTCGTGACAATCTGCACACTGGGCTTGGTAGAAGACTTGACACAGCAGGTAAACATGCATTACTCAAGTCACCGCAGAAAACCACAGTATGTGGTTCAACAGAAATACACTGTCGTATTGATTTGATGCTGTCAAGGTAAGCATCTCCGGAAGAAGATTCCAGTCCATCGACAATCTGTGGTAATAGCAAACCTAAGTTTAGAGCATTGATGAATAATAAAAAGTCAATCGAAGAAGACATTAATTTAACAAGCCACAAAAGGTCTGCCCGACAACTTGACTGAATGAGGATGGACGTAGCACAATGTGCTGAACAAAATCAAGCAAACAATATTTTTTTGCCAGAGACTTAAGATAGAGTGAACAGAACAAAACACAGCAAACTAGATGGATGATATACAAGAATGATGATGCTCTTGCATTAGCTCTACATAAACAGGTTGAAAAATATACCAGTGAACAAACCCCAGAAATATCAATGGCCTCCATGGAAACAAGCTCCAAAAGCCTGTCTGGCGTGCATACAAGGAACTCTGGCTCACAAGTTTTTAATCTGTAACAGAGTTTCATAAAATTAGACATGCTATGCGCTTATACATGCTCACACACAAACATATATGTGTGTGTGTGTGTGTGTGTATATATAAACACAAATATAACCAGAAAGATAAAGTATCACTGTCTACAGATGAGTGCTCCAAAGCAATAAGAACAGCATGTAATTGTGTACTAGCACCAGACATAAAGTTATCTTATCCCCTTAGGTAATGCATCATAGATTGGTCATTGTGCTAAGAATAGAGTTAACATCATGGAATTTTACCATGTTCAACTTTAACAATGCTAAACGATGAAAGAAACAAAAGAAAGTTGAAACAATCTATAATTGACTAACTAGCTTCTTTTTTTGTTCCATCAGAATAACGGCAACTACAACAATGAAGGTGTTCATTTCCTAGGAAATTATTAGTGTAGGACAATAGCATGTGTAAACATTTTATACATGATGATTTACATTAGATGGGCTAGGTATTCAATGTCCTTATGTATTTATTCCCAAGGGTTGGTTATTTCTAACCACTCCTGATTCAATTTCAGCATATTTTCACCTATTCTAACACTCTCGCTTGGGCCAGGTCATCCTCTTTGTTCCTCACTACCACAATCCAAGATCTACATGCACCAAGTCTATATCATCAGAACATTTACTCATGTTCGGCTATGTTTGTGCCATCATCAGTAGAAACTGTGATGAAACCTAGAGTTTTCCAGCATGGATCAACCCAATATTGAAAGAGAAATGAAGAACTTGATATTTATGTAGACGTATAAAAGTATCTTTAATGTAAGAAGGAACTGAGAAATGCAGGATGATAAATGGAACTCCTTTTTTTTGGGGGGATTAACTATAATCGTCTTTGTTGGATGGTTATGGATTCCTCCCTTCTAGTATATGAATTCAATTTGAGGACTCTTTCCAATATTCACATAAACAACACTTAGGCTATATAATGATTAACAAATTGCATGTTCCCCAATTAGTCAATGTGTACAAGGGCGACTAATTGAAAAATACTGAATGAGAATAAGTTAACACCATCAACTGATGTTATCAAGATATAAATTTATAATCTTCTCTGTGAATCATGCATATGCAAATCTCTGTATGATCTGACTACTATTGAGTTAAACAAGAGAATAGATAAGATTTTAATTGAATCAAGTCTATAAACTTTTCCCAAAACATCAAACTCCCAAAAGCAAAAAAGTACTGTTTGCATAAATGTTTGCTGCAGTTATGAAATTCATAATTAGATAAACGAACACCCAATTCTTCCAGGTTTCATATTATTATGTAATTTACCCATGAATTTGATGATCTATGGAGGCACCAGGATGAAGGCTCACTGTATGTATTCCATATGCCTTCAAAGGCTTGCACACAGCACGTACCTGCAAATAAAAGTGTGGTTATACCACTATAAACAAATGAACAGCAAGGCCTATAGGGACTTGAATGATGAACTTTTAAGACAACCAATTATTTAGCACAAATGCGTCTCATTTCAACAAGATCAGACTTATGTCATGGGACCCTAGGATACCCCCTTCTATGGTTTCTATTTTCATTCCAGCCTTCAACCAACAAACTACCTAAATTGTGCAATTTCAGTTGCTGGATATTACACAAAAAGATGTACTACAATATCGGAAACATGCAAATAATAACCTATCTATGCATCCCCTGTGGTTCTATGGATACACAAAGCTTATGTGTTGACAGATCATGAGAACCAAAAGTCTTAGTAATCCGTTCTCCAAGTGCACCAAATCAGTATTTTTCTTTTTAGGGGGGAAACCTCAAAAACTCATTAGGCTAGATAAGCCATAAGTAAAAGTAACAGTATTATTGTTATATTATCAGGCTAGTCTTGAATACGTCTAGACATACCTTTGTTGCCTTCTCTTGTGAGGGTACAAGGAACAATAGGAAGGGGTTGGTGAAAGATACGCCTTCTTTTTCCTTTTTTGTAATGGTATCAACAGCAGTTGAACCTATCCAAGCAATTTGCTCCATGGTAGCACAACCTCCACTTGTCTCCAATACATTTCTGCCGTTTGAATAGCATCTCCAAAATTCAAACCCCCATGAGTCAAAGAACAAAGGTTTCCCCGGTTCAAAGGCTTCATTATGATGCAATGTATCTTGTATCGTTTTCAAACATGAAATTAAAAACTTTGATGGGCAACCTTCACCTTCAGAAATATGCCCACTGAGCTTCTTGCAGCTTTTTTTATCTGATCGTGTCAACTCTTTCTCAACCCTAGCCCTCTTCTGTTCCTGGTTTTTTCCATTTGATTGATGATCCATGTTGGCCTTTCTCTTATTCTTTAAAGCATCACTGCCTTTTTCTTGCAAATCATCATTACCCTTTGACGGCCAAATTTTCTTAGTCTTCTTTGTCTTGTCTTTTTTCTTGGAATCAGTAATCATAGCTTTGTCATTAAAAGGATCTTCGAGAGTAGGGAGGCTAAAACACATTCCCTGCATCATCACAACAGAAGGAAAAAGAAAGTGAGGAAAAGCCCTTCTATTTAGAACATATGTATTTTAATGTTCTCATCACCAACATGGCATATACGTCACGCAACAGAATTCATGGAAAACGGCCAGCATTAGCAGCCCATGAAATTTTTGCATAAAGGAACAGAGCTTTTAGAAGATACCAAAACTTGTTCGAGGTAGACCACAGTGGCTAGAATCAAACGTGCTTAATACCACGCAATAGAGCCACAACTGCTTTCAAGTAATTTGGTTTGTTCTATCAAGTGTAAACATGCTGCACAACTTTAGTACCATATATCGCTCTTAAGCGCAAACAATATAGATTCTTACGAATTCTTGTGCAAGTCTAACAAGCTCTAATAATCAGACACACTTAACATCGTCGTAAAGATGTAAAATCTTGAAGAATTCTTGACAGAATCAAAATTTCCTCGAAACTCTCAGCAGAAAACATTGATCAATCATTAGAGATCTTATACAGTACAACTAATATACCTGACACATTCTGCGCTTGCCGGATTGACGACGTTTTTTTTGTGCGATAATGGCGGCTACGCGATTAGAAACCTTCGCTGATTCGCTACGCAACTTCTTCCTATTTGATTTGTTCTTCTTTCTTATTATTGCATCTTCTCCTTTAGGCATTGTTCAAACCTCAAACGGCGAATATCAATGGAGAAACCGATTCAAGAAATCGCAGAGTTTGGAAGGGAAGGCGGTTTTGAGTTCCTTGTTGTAAGAACTTGTACAGTGATGCTTTGTACTAGGTGGCAATGGGTAGGTTTGTTATAACAAGAAAACGCTGAGGGTAGTTCTGGTAATTCGTGGGCTTAGAGGGTTAGCATATATAATTTGGGCCTTTATGGGCTTTGATATTTCCATTTTTCTTTTTACCTTTTTGTTCGATGAGTTATAAAAACGTTATTTTTCACATGAGAGTTTGGGATTACTTATAAAAAATAATTTATTGTTTTATTTTGGTGAGATATCGATAATAAGTATTTTTGAGTGTTTGAATAAATAATTTGTATTGGTGTTAAATTGGTAATAAAAAACTTTTGAATAAGTTAAAGTATTTTAACTTATAATAAATTAATAAACACTTTTATATAAAATTATAAGTTATTTCAAATAAGCAATCTCAAACACCCCATAATCAGGAGCATATTTGGATGTTTAAAAACAACTTTTTTCATTTTAGAAACTTTTAAAATTAAAAAAAAAAAAATTTGTTCCAACAACTATAATAAACATTTCTTTAAAAAAGATAAATTAAAGAATTAAAAAATCTATATATTTAAAAAAGTAAACATAAAATATAGCAACCTATCGGAAATGTTCTCATGATATCCTTCTTGGTAACTTTGTCGTCAAATCAACCCTTAAGGGACGCTTTGGTTCGCATATTCTAAAAAAATATGATAAAATTGGAATATTGAATTTCACCGACCAAAATTCATTCCGTCATTTGGTTTATTTTTTTTATGGAATCTTCAAAATCCTACAGATTCCACAAATAAAAGAATTTAACATTCCTTATCGACTACATGGTATTTTGATAAAATGAAATTATCTATTTTCATAATACTAAATATGTCCTTTAATCCGGTATACCCTATCTCATAAAAACTCAATATGTCATTGTCGACCACCTCCGACCACCGTCGATCTGAGTCACTGTTGACACCACCGATCTGAACCACCATCAAACTGGACCACTGTCGAATCACTGCCATCTAAACCGTCGTGGACCATCACCGATCTGAACCGTTGTCAACCACCGCGGACCACCATCGATTTGAACCACCGTGGACCACCGCAACTACCACTGGATTTGAATCACTGCTGGCCACCCTCGATCATCATCAATCTAAACAACCACCAATCCGAACCACTACTGACCATCGTTGATTTGAACCACCCCCGATTTGAACCACCTCTAACTATCACCATCTGAACCACCAGGGACCATCACTGATCTGAATCACTGCCGACCACTGCCATCTGAACCACCACTAATTTGAACCACCGCCGACCACCTATGTGAACCACTGACGATCTGAACTACTACTGATCTGAACTACCGCCGATATGAACTACCACCTACAACCACTGATTTGAACCATGGTCGATCACTGCCGATCTGAACCACGGTCGACCACCACCGAATTAGCTATTTTACCTGTTAAAGAATTAGCTATTTTGAGACAATTTTAATAACGTCGCTTGGTTTATGGTTATATTTGTGTTGTGTATCTTATATTGTTTTACACATTATATAATTATTTGATTAAAGTGTTTTTAGTTTTTTAAAAAATCAAAAATCTTTCAAAAATGACATTTTTGTCATTTACCAATATTTCATTAAAATTTTAAAGCTAAATTTTGTGAACCAAACAGACAAATTTCAGTTTATTAACATTATTCCATTCCAATGTCTACCAACAAAACATGTAGTCAAACCTGACAACATTACATTCTAATTCTTTTAAATTAAAATTCATTTAACATATTTCATTTAATTCAAAAACATTATGCAAAATAATCACCACATATCATTGGAATCTTACAAATTAAAATTATCAATTCTATTAACCAAATTTTATTCATGTATTTGTGTTTTGTTGATATCAATATATCTGTATACACGTATATATTTATCATGTTATGAAATTGACAACAAACTATTTTTTTAAAACAAAGTGTATGTTAGAAAACATTATTCGAGTTTGAAATAATGCATGCGGAGGGTGAAAAATAATCAGCAAGTAAAAAAAATACATTTATTTTGATTTTAATAATTAATATAAAATTTTAATCATGGTTTTTATAAACAACCAAAATTAATTCCTTTTATTGTATGCGAGACACACACACACACATATATATATATATATATATATATAAATTATAATGTTTCTTTTAAGTTGTTTACTGATCAACATATATTATCTAATTGAATCTTGAGAGTATTAATAAACAACAAAAAAAAAAAAAACTACGAAATGGTTCTCCACTCCTCGTATATAACTCAGCCTCTTTTTTATTGTTTTTTTTTCTCCCAATATCTTTTGCGAATGTATTATATCTTTTCATGAAATTTTCTCATCTTATCATGTGACTAAAAAGAAGTACTATCAATTAAAAGACTAAGGTGGCGTTTGTTTTTTAAGAGGTGCTGAAGTCTGAAGTCTGAATTCACTTCTGATTTTTAAGAGGTGGTGCTGAAGTCTGAAATCTGAATCAATCAGACTGTTTGTTTTTTGCGTCTGAAATATGAAGTTTGAAGATGAGAGATCGAGAGTTGATATGGATCGACAGTTGACAGAGTTGAGAGATGAGAGATCGAGACAGAAGAGTTGATCCAGAGAAATCGAGCATAAAGAGATCAAAGTAGGTAGACGACAATTTGAAATAAAATGTAATAAAAGGTTTCTCAAACACTTAAATTTTCAGACTTAATAAGAGCTTTTAAGCTCTTAATTGAAAAAAAAAAGAACACACTGAATCCTCTTATGTCTGACCGATTTAGACTTAAGAGGACATTAAGAGCTTTTTTATTAAAAACAAACAGTCCCTAATACTAATTTTCCCCCTTTTTTATTGAATTTTTATACAATAGATATATGTATTAATATAATGTAGAGATGGTCAAATGGGCTTGACCCGATATGGGATTGATAGGGACCGGTTTGGGAGCGACTGTTAAGAACAAATTACATTTTTTGTCAAAAAACAAGGTCGGGACCGGCCCGAGACCGGTTTGGGATTGATTATGGGCCTAGCTCGGAACCGACCCAATTTTCTCAAAAAAATGTATTTCAAAATTTCTAAGTGTATTTGATTGAAAATCGATTACAAATTTATAATAAAATGTATTTTTAAGTGTATTTAATTGTCCCATTCAATCTCTATTCACTATATATAAGTCAACTGGTGTATGGAGAAAGATACCAACTTACAAACTCTCATAATCTTTGCAAAAAAATTATTTTTGTAAGTGTATTTAGTTGACCCAATTATATATTTTCAAATATATTAAAATAAAAATGTTGTATCCTTAAAAAAAACTTAAAAAAATTGTGTAGAAAATTGAATTTTTTTTACATAGTACCGGTTTGGACTCGGGTCCGGACCAGTTCTCATAACCGGTCCTTCGTATTTGATCGGGACGAAACTAGAATCGATTACAAGATCACTATTTTAAGATCGGTATCAATTTAGGCCAGGACTGGGAACAATTTAGACCCAGCGTAGCGCTGAATCTTGGCCACCTCTGGCTCTAATATTTACAACGTGTATTTAAAAACTAAAAATTAATTAAAAATTAAAAATTAAAAATTAAAAATTAGAAAAGGCGATAAACAAACTAACCGTTGTAAAGGGCTTCCAGAGCCAGTCAGCTAGGGCAGTTTTTTTGGGCCCATAAGATTCATTACGGCCCAATTTACTTAGACCCTAAAACACAATCTGCCAGCAAAGTTCTGCAAACGCATAAGCAGTTTGCCGGAGCTTCAAAAACAACCCGCCAATTTAAGCCAACTCGCCGTCGCCGGTAATTTCTGCCGAAGCCGAAAGCAAAAAACTCAAGCAGAATGAGGAAGAAGGTGGATGAACGTATTAGAACCCTAATTGAAAACGGAGTCAGAACCAGACACCGTTCCATGTTCGTTATCATCGGCGACAAGTCCCGCGACCAGGCCAGTTCATTATCCAACACACAAACACACTTGTGTTTCTACATGCGACACGATTACATATTGGTTGTGTATAGAGTATTGATTACACGTATTAATATGTGTATTTTGTTTTGTGAACAGATTGTGAACCTCCACTACATGCTTAGCAAATCAGTTGTTAAGTCTCGACCTAATGTTCTATGGTGTTACAGGGACAAACTTGAACTTAGCAGGTTCTTGCTTTAACACTGTTTTATTTAGTTACTTTTAGTTCCATCTATTATAGAATATGAGGTAGACTGATTTTTAAATGTGAAGCACGTTGCCTTCCAACTTCACAATTTATGTGAAAATTTAACTTTAACATGATTATCTTATTAGACATAATGCTTATTTATTAGATTTTTAAAGGAAAATCCGCCGAAGGTAAAATTCGACTTAACAAGAATTTAGTAAATTTCGTACATACTGTGATTATTGTAAACAATCCAAAAGCTATTTCTAATTATCAAACGAGTTCCTTTTAGGTTGATTGCATAGTTATGTGTTTTCAAATGTTGTAAATTTACGCCAAATGTCAAAACGTGTGCCTAATTTGGAACAGAGCTAGCAAGATAGAAAAATATACGATCTGTCTGATTGATAGTATGGAAACTTGCTTGCACGGGCATGTCTGGTACACTAATTAGAAATGCTGTTACCATCAGTTTTGGTTCAGGATTACAGATTTAGCAGCTGTTATAAAAGCTAGTGGAATGGTTAATATCAGCAATCGTTGGCGTTTCACTATAGGTCTAATCTCTTTGAGATTAGTTTCTCTATGAGTTGGGTCAAAATCTTTGTAACTATTTATCATGTGGTATAACAATATATGCGATGATGGAGGCAGAAATGCTTGTGTTTCTATCTCTTAAAGGCGGTGTTCTTCAGAAATATTATTTGAAAGTTGGGACAATAGAGTTGAATCTGATGTCAACATTTATAAGGATGTTGGGGAGGTTTTGTTCTTTTAGGATATAGACTCGGTAGAATTAAGGACCCTTTTTTTAAAGTATATAATATTTATATATGGCAAATAGAACAAATAAACTCACACACCCTCCTCACCTTTGGTGAGGTTTGAACCCTTGACCTCCTAGGATGGAGGATTTATTGTTTGACTTTAATAAAGCAAAAGGAGATGTACCACATGGTGCAAGGACCATTACCTTTGAAAAATGTTTTTTAGTGCCTTACTAGTTATTATCAAGTCATTCTACATAACCATAGTTGTTGTTGTTGAAGTGCAAAAGCACATAATAGAAAGTAGAGAAGAGGAATCTCGTCTAGGCTCCGGGCTCTCTAATATCTGTATATGTTCATCTCTATTTTGACTGCATCACATGACTCTATCCATCCATCGTAAATCTAAGATTTAGAAGTGGCCCTTTGTGTACATGGACCATGTCATACTGTCTTCATTATGACACAATCTACCTGGAATTCGTTGCTAATTTATGTTCATTGACATTTCTCACAGTCACAAGAAAAAACGGGCCAAGCAGGTCAAGAAGCTCATGCATAGAGGACTTCTAGATCCTGAGAAGGTTGATCCCTTCTCACTTTTCCTTGAAACTGCAGGAATTACATATTGCCAGTACAAGGATTCTGAGAGGGTTCTTGGAAATACATTTGGCATGTGTATACTACAGGTAGATTACTATTAGCATTGTCTTTGACTCATATTCTATTGTAGCTGGTACATATTCATATTCGGCGTCAATTTTCTATTTCAGGATTTTGAGGCCTTGACCCCAAATCTTCTAGCAAGAACTATAGAAACAGTGGAAGGTGGTGGATTGGTTATTCTGCTGCTTCGTTCTTTGTCTTCACTCACTAGTCTGTACACCATGGTTATGGTATGAGTTGCAATTTCTTTATACCAGTTTCTTAAAGCATAATTATCAATATAATCAGGACAATGGAAGTCACCCTTTATTTGTGTTTGGAATTTGAATGTTTGTTCTATTATCCTTGAAAAGATATGCACTTTCTCCCCCCCAAAAAAGTCCACATCTGACTTGCACATATCGAATACTACATTTTGACTTCAGAAATCAATAAGAAATGTTTAGATTGTAGATTAAAAAAGTCGATTTTATAATTAACTATGACACAAAATAATGATAATAATATGTTTTGCAACTTAAAATTTGAAGTTGTTGCTTACAAATTTTAGATGTAGAATGTTTGAATTCTAAAAGTGGAAAGTGAATTCATTTATATATACTTCTTATCTACTTGGAATTGTTGTTTGATTCAAATATTGCTGTAAAATATTTGTTTTACCTAAATATTGCTGTAAAACTTGGACTGCTCTCCCTGTATCATATGTACTAATTGTTTTTTCGTTTGTTCATGCATCTGGCTTTCTACTCCCTGTATCATACGAGGTTGTGATTTTGCTTCTTTGACAGTAAAGTTACATTGAAGGCAGATTATAACCTACACATTGATTATTTGCGGCCACATACTGCCTTTATTTTATCTGCAAGAATATATTTATATCAAGCACCCAAGTAGTGTGTCATTGAGGAGAGGGAATATGCATTAAACCACAAACTTTTCTTTGGGGGGATATTATCAATGCCTGCTACAGCTTCATCCTGTTCAAATCACCACTTTGGTTCTGAGATATTTTGGAAGGCTAATGGTAGATGCTGCATTAAGATTCAGATGGTAGCTTCAATTATAATCTGGTGGTATGGTTGGTTGAACCTAGAAGAAGTCGCATTTTTCTTCTCATCTTAAAGATTTATGATAAATTAGGTAAACCAACATTGTTTCTTGTTCCAAGAAATAGAAAACCCTAAATATGATTTGAACACTGAATGTTTCACAAGGTTAGTTATTGTTGATATCGTGTGTACTCTAGTCAGTACACATCTCCCTGATAGCTGTATTAGGTGATGAGCCAAGTCTGCTTAACTAATTTCGGTGATTTGATCCTGTAGGCTATCATTTATGCATGATGGATTACATTTGCTATAGTTGCTTATTAAACATGGTTCTATGTGCACAAAAGGTAGTGTAGGTGATGCGAGATTTAAGTGTGTAGCCAGGATTTCTGTCTTAGAGACTGGGTTGGTTTTTGGCAATATGTTTTGCACTTGTTATTGTCACGAATGACAATGTTGGCAATGATGCCAAATTGCCAATAGCAAGGGCTTTATTCTTATTTGCCTATTTCGTATAATATAACGACATCCGACTAATATATAATCTTGTCTTCAGATCATGATCTTTTATAACTAGATGAGTGCTACTTGCAGGATGTTCATGAGAGATTCCGTACAGAATCTCATTCTTTAGCCACCGGACGCTTCAATGAACGTTTCTTACTTTCTCTTGCATCATGCGAATCATGTATAGTTATGGATGATGAGTTGAATATATTGCCAATCTCATCTCATATGAAGTCGGTCACACCAGTTCCAGTGGAGGAGGTAAATTTTCTGGTCTTCTGCACTTTGTTGTGTTGTCTTAATCTAACACATAAAAGAATTTTGCATCCTATTGTGGTACATCAATTGCAACTTGTTTGTTGGGAATTTTTGAACAATGTGTTATGGACCTTATGGTAATGGTAGCAGTTTCCTTCTTTACGTGGGCAATATGAAAGAATTCCTCAGTCTGTTTGTTGGTCAATGTTGATGTTTGTTGGTTCCCGCACAGCTGTAGTTCTAATATTTTGTTTTCTTTTTGGTGATAAAAGGATTCTGAGGGGCTCTCGGAAGCAGATCGTGACTTGAAAGATCTGAAAGAACAATTAAAAGATGATTTTCCTGTTGGTCCACTGATTAAGAAGTGTTGCACATTGGACCAGGTACTGATATTTCTTATGTTGCTATTCTTTTTCTTTTAGGTTTGGAGGACATAATTCTACTTGCTACCATAATTCATCTTATTAATCTATTAAATATTAAAAATCTGGTACTTTAAATTCTTCTCATTGTAATGGTGTACCATCTATATATCTTTTTTTGCCAGCAGTAAATAAAATTAAATATAATAGATGTAGTGGTACCAAACTTTGATCAAATCATGAAGTTCTACTTTCACTTTTGTTTTCTTCTACCCCTAACTTCGACACTGCCCACTTGTGAACTTGTACAAATTTACCAGACCTATCATTTTTCTGTTTTTAACCTGAAGGTTTTCAGTCTTCACATTTTTTGACCTCATTTGATCTGAATTACCACATGCCATTATGGTGAAAAGATACACTTAAGATGGTAGCAGGATAACTGAATAGACTACATTGATATAATTATTTCTGCATCTTCTACCAGCATCTCTTTCTGATATTTTGGACCGTTGCAAAAAAAATATCAACTACTTTCAGTCCCCAGAACTTGACCTTCTCCTGTCTTCCTTTCTTTGTTGCTTCCTTCTCTACCAGATGGCCTTAGCTTCTTATGCTTTCCAATCAAATGAATAGCTTCTGATCATGCCCTCTCCAACTGCAGAAATACATTTTTTTCCTGTTCTTTACACATAAGTCATGCTTATGTTTTGGTTTAATAGAATGTGTGACAATCCAGCTTTGCCTGATAGATCTCTAACCTTTTGGGAGATCCTCATTCTCAAGTCTTCTGGGTTAGAGATGCCATCATACATCTTTTTAGAGTATTGCAATTGATAATATGCTTTAATACTGGCATATTATAATTTTCTGAACATGTGGGAGTTGACATATTCTGAATATTAATTCAGGGAAAAGCTGTCATCACCTTTCTTGATGCGATCTTAGATAAGACACTCCGTAGCACAGTGGCTTTGCTTGCTGGTCGTGGCCGTGGAAAGTCAGCTGCACTTGGTCTCGCAGTTGCTGGAGCTGTTGCTGCAGGGTAACAACTCTATCTATTCAACGACATGTGGTTCTTTGATATCTGTTGATCCTGTAATGAGCACATGATTCTGCAGGTATTCAAATATATTTGTGACTGCTCCTAGCCCAGAAAATCTAAGAACTTTGTTCGAATTTGTATCAAAGGGATTTGATATGCTTGAGTACAAGGTGAAAGTTGTTTCTATCTCTTATTGTACTACTATTTAAATACTTGTTGGAATGTTGGTTTATATTTCTGTTATTTCGTTGGAGTATGCAATCAGCTCTTCTCAGGACTGCTTTTTCTTTCTGAGATAACAAAAACCTTTTAGCTCTTAGATATAGCAGACACTTCCTTATTTGTTTCTTATTCTCTGTTGAAATTGCTGTATGATGAAAATTGGAACCGAGAAACACACTGATCAGTTGAAATTGCAAGAATTGAAATAAAGAAAACCAGAGAAGATTCCTGAAGACCAATGAAAAAGTAAATTAAATGGTGAAAGTTTCTTATTTTGAAACTTGGTTAGCATTATGCGACTATATCTTGTGTCAGTTGTAATGGTTTATCATTCTTGATGAATTATTTGTTAGCCAGGAGTCCAGGACAGGATCCTCTCAATTTATTTTTTGTTGGTTTTTTGAAACTTGAGTGCATGGTATTTAAAAAAGGGGATATACTAGATCAGAAGTAAGGGATTGGTGAAATTTCAATAGGAAGGGAATATCTTCTGCTCTGGATATTTTGAATGGAAAAGAATGAGCTAGTATGCTTGCTTGAGGTGTTAAAGGAGGGTATTTTATTCCTTCTAGTTTTCTTATACGAGTTTGTTGTTGAAACACACAATTGTCCTATTCCTACACCTTCAATGTATAAAAATGTCGATAATATAATTTCTGAAGTGATTCATGCAACAACAAAAGCTGAGATGTCATCTCGACTTATGAAACTGCATAATATATTATGAGAAAACAATGCTTCAAAATAAACATGGTAGGGCTCTCAAGATCAAGGCGTAATGAGATCTTAGTGGTAAAGGCCTTTTCCTTTCTGATACAAGGTCACTGGTTCTGGCGTCATCCCTTTTACTCATCATGAAAGAAAATATTTTTGTGCTCTAGTCTAAGTTAGAGTGAGCCCTTCCAGATTTTTTTTTCAAGCACAATAAACAGTAGAAACAGAGGAGAGTTTTGCTTTTGCTTGAAACGAGGAACTCAAATAAGTAAGCGAGATGGATTGACTTTCTGTTTCTATACAAGACTCTTCTGTTAAGACCTTTCTATATTGTCCATCATATCAGAACAAAATAAATATCAATGTCTTTTTTTCTTCCCAATCACTGCTTTATGTTTTTTAATGGCTAAGGTGAGCTTCTGTGCTTGATCTTTTTATATATAAATATGATCATATATGTTGTTGATATACTTTACTGACACATTTGCAGGAGCACTTGGATTATGATATTGTGAAAAGCTCAAATCCAGAGCTCAAAAAAGTGACTATCAGAATAAATATCTATAAACAGCACAGACAGACAATTCAGGTTCGTATACATGCAGAATTGACCTTCTGGAATATTAATATTTGTTTTAAAAATATTTGTTTCTTAGATTAGACTTCTCTGTTACCTTAGTACAGTTTTAATTTTCTGGTTGTGAGAAGATATCTGCTCCTCATTTTTGTATATGTTAGCTATTCTTGATTTTTTGGCTGTATGTTAGTCTGTTGATGTAGAAGTAGTTGTTTGTTTGTTAGGGTTTTTTGTTCTTATCCTCACAAGTAGTCTCTATGCTTTAAGGGCAAGGCTACATGTAATCCGAGTATGGTACAAGCCTCATTCTAGGTGATGGAAATTGTTTGTGGGGCTAGATTTGATAATAACTATTAGAAGTGAATCAGTGATCATATTGGAACTTTGAGTTTACGTGCTACTATGATTGTGTGGATTTCCTGCTTAACGAATATGATCATCTCTGCCTATTTGTTGGTATTGTTGTACTGAACTCTGCTTGATCAGTCTCATCTTGATGCTTATAACCATGTGTGTTCTTGCAGTATATACAACCACATGAACATGGAAAACTGTCTCAAGTTGAACTTTTGGTGGTTGATGAAGCCGCAGCTATTCCGCTGCCACTTGTGAAGTCCTTGCTTGGGCCTTATCTGGTTTTTCTATCTTCTACTGTTAATGGGTATGCAGTATATATATTTTCGTTAACTTCACCCAGATGACCAATGGCCAGGAAAACCTACTTTTGGAACTTCTTGGGCATTCGTTACAACTTCACATATTTGCTTCCACAGTCTTTCACTACTGTATATAATTGAGTGGTCCGATGTTGATCCCTCAATGCCTCTGGGTGCTTTCTTTCTTGAAGCTATGAAGGTACAGGGCGATCTCTATCGTTAAAACTGCTGCAGCAATTAGAAGAGCAAAGTCGAGCATCTACAAAAAGCACAGATGCTGCTCCTTCTGGTATGAGAATTCCTTAGTTTAGGTCCTCTGCTCTGCTTTCCAATTTCAAAAAGTCAGGAGCTGGGAGGTTATTCTGCAAAGTTTTTTTTCATGCTATATGCTTACGGGTGCTTTTGCAGTAGATTTATCTCTCTAGAACTTCGTAAACTAGAATGTAGCAATCTCTATTTAGGTTGCCAATGCATTTGTTCAATGTTACAATTGCAGATCTTGAAGCATACCCAAATTTCCAAAAGGAACATCATTTACAGCATGATTCTTTTGGTAGCTTAAATAAATCCTGAACGACCTCTTAAACACTAACGCATATAGTTAAGATCTGAATCACTATTTATTATTCTATCTTGTATATATTATTAGTTGGTCAAAAACACATTTGCTTTGATGACATATTTGGCCATTGTCTCTATGTGCCTCCGTTATGACTCTCAGTCTTCATCCTTGAAGCACTATATAGTGTTGTCTTTTGTGTTGACGCCTTGGAGTTTCTTCATAAGCTATGATTGTCTTCTTTCACGTGTGACAGAATTCATCTCTTGCAGTAGAATTCAGATATAACTGCTAATCTTTACTCATAACTCACTCCTTAAAAGTAACTACTACAAGATGATGGAGGCTAGATCTTGGCCTTATCGGTGGATGTAATCTTAGGCATCATTTGTATCTCATAAGCATAGGTGGTGGTGACTGTTGGAAGCATGGTCCAAACTCGTTATATACCTAATCTGCACATCAGTTACCTCCAGTTTTAGCACCACTGGCTCCCAGGCATTTCTGGTTGCTGAAAAGTCTTGGCGATGCCATGATTCACAATTGCAGCATTCCTAACTTATGGATGAGCATGCGTCTAACCTAGTTTGTCTTAAAACATAATATGATTTAATTTGTTTCAATGCAGGTCGGCTTTTCAGGAAGATAGATTTGAGTGAAGCTATTAGATATGCATCTGGTGATCCAATTGAATCCTGGCTTAACAATTTACTTTGTCTGGACATCGCAAATTCCATCCCCAGCATCAACAGGTTGAAACAAATTGCTGAAAACCCGTGGTTTGACATTATAAGTTCCCCTCTCAATCGTCTCCATTGACTCACGCTTGTTGTTTGTGCAAATAGGCTACCTCCTCCCAGTGAGTGTGATCTGTATTATGTTAACCGGGATACACTTTTCTCATATCATAAAGACAGCGAGTTATTTCTGCAGGTAGTTATGGGCCTATTTAGTTATTGTTCTTGGTTATGAACTCAAGTATATTGGTGCTTACGTATTCTTACACTATTCAGAGAATGATGGCTTTATACGTTGCTTCTCACTACAAAAATTCTCCGAATGATCTTCAATTATTGGCTGATGCTCCAGCTCATCACTTGTTCGTATTACTTGGTACACATTATGTTTGTAAATCTTGCTTTATTGTTATCGTCATTATTATTCCCTCCAGACTGCTAGAATTCAGAAAATGTGAATATTAAGAAGAATTTTCATCCTCTTGCTAGATATATGTTTCAAAGATAGTACGGGAGGATTACATCAACCTTCTCTGAAACAAAACAACATAGAGAGTGAATTGAGTAGTTTTCTATGATTGTTGTAATAAAAATTTATTTACACAATTCATTATTGCTTGTTTTCAAGACAAGGATTTATACAGGTTGATGTTTTCTACCAATCAAGTCCTTGTTGCTTCTGAAACTCATGTTCATTTGATTTGCAACAGAAACAGCCTTACATTTTAGAATATAGGGATAATGTTGTTTGTTTTTCACTTATATTTATTACCAGATACCCAAAACTATATTTCTAATAACATATGTGTGCAGGTCCTGTCAACGAGTCAAGGAATCAGCTCCCAGATATTCTTTGTGTCATCCAGGTTTTCCTTTGTTTTTGTTTCTTCTAGCCTTAAATATTTGGGAAGCATATATATTTAGTGCCTGGTTATGATTCTGATAGTTTCATATTTGTATGGGATTTCCTTAATTGTTCTACAGGTCTGTCTTGAAGGAAAAATTTCTCAAGCTTCTGCCATGAGAAGTTTAAGTGCTGGTCATCAGCCTTCAGGGGACCAAATTCCATGGAAATTCTGCGAACAATTCCAAGATAAAGACTTCCCAAGTCTTTCTGGTGCTAGAATTGTGCGCATTGCAACACACCCAAATGCAATGAAGGTATCATCACTCTGAAGCACTTTCTTTATTTTTGTGTTCTTAATTTTTTATGTGCAGCATAATGTTTCCAATATTTGTCCCAAGGGTAAATGATTGTCATCTCATCATATTGCAGCTTGGATATGGTTCAGCTGCCATACAATTGCTGTCAAGGTACTATCTACTGTATCATGTTTATTTGGCTATTTATGTTGTCACCTGCACGCTTTGCCAGGTCATATTTACCTGTTTAAGCTAGCTGGTGCACTAGAGGATTAGCAGATGTCGTGTAGGTTATCTAGAACCTGACATTTTTTTACAATTTGAAGTGCATATAAGCACAAAAATGCTTTTATTCACATCGATTGCACTTGAATCATGTATCTTTCTATCTTATTGTTCCTGGTGACTAGTGACAGAAGAGCAAGGCCCCAAAAAGTCCTAAAAGGCTAGATACTGAAACCTCCCAAATAACCTACCTGCTGAGATACGTCGAGTTGTTTCTCAGACTTTAGGCATGCTTCATTGTAGTTCGACACCAGAAATCTTTTGCAATATACTTTTAAGTAGCTGTTGAGTATGGAAGAACATGCAATGCCATCTAGCAAGCCCAATTCTAGAAAAATACACACTGAGAAGGAAACTGGAAAAAGAAGCCGTGATGGTATGGGATGCCCTTGAGAGTTGCGAAAAATTATGCACTCCTAACTAAGCATAGCTTAGTTGATTCAGACTGCTGTTAGTTCCAAATGATTTCCAGATTGAAATTAAATTTAGGGCAGGGGGTACTGAATGAGACTTGAATATTATTTTTTCTTAGTAGATCCATAGACTAACTGCTGAAGATTACAAATGTCTTAGGATAGTGCATAAATTCAACACAAGTAAATTCTTTTAGGTACAGGCATCAAGTGCATAACATAACTTATGTTCCATCCAAGAAAAATGCAGAACTTTCTATCTGCGTTGTTCCGGAAAAAGGTTTGCAGTGTTTTGAAATAATCCAATCCAAATATACCAATCAGCAACCATTACAAGATATTGATGAGGTTGATGGTGGTCCACAAGTTTTCTCAAAAACAATTGTGGGGGGGGGGGGGTAATCTTATGTAGATGAATATGGGTCAAAGTTCTATTGAACTATGCCTCGAGTCAAACGCTTACTAAGCGATCAAACCAAACACTGAATCTTTTGGGATGCAGGGAGCAATAATTATTTGCAACAAAAAATATATTTGAATTCAAATTCTCAAACAGTTGTATATTGCAGACATTATGTTTAACTCAGTGCGGGGATAATAAGTATGTGTTTTGCTTCTTATGGGTATAGACACTTCAGTTCTAACACCGTTTCAATTGATTGGGTAACAATGGAGAGATCTATGTATTTTAATTTTACTTCTTCTACTTGCATTTTCTGTATAAGTACACGACATGCATTTATCTAAGAAGCCTATCAATTACAATAATTGCTATAGGTACTTTGAGGGTCAATTCACTCCCATCTCTGAAGAAGATGTCCAGAATGATCCAGAGTCTCCACATCTTAAAATTACTGAAGCGGCTGAGAAAGTAAGATTTTATTTGTACTTCACCTTCTTACACTTGCTGTTTCTTACATTCTGATAAGTGCTATGATAGGAGTTACGTTTTATGCTTCTCATCGATTAAAGTTTCTGTTATTTGTGGGTTGTCATGATTTAATTTCTGGCTCCAACTCAACACCATCTAGAACTAGAGTGCTCAGGCTTCAAGTGATAAATATATCATTATCAACATCCTTAATAATTCTGTTGTTCTCTTTCTGTGTCCCCCTGCTCTCCTTTTCCTCCCAATCTGGATCCGAAATTTACTTCCTTGTCATTCTTCTTAATCATCCGTTCTGGCCTCCCAAATAGTTCTCTATTTCCAAAATAGGATTATGAAGATGATTATCTTAACAAACCTTTTTCTTACTTGAATGAGGTATTTAATTGAACTATCTACGGATGGTACATGGTAGTTGGTAATTATGAGCCTTCCAAAGGAGCATCAGCTGCATTAGTTTATGCAGAACAAGAAACAAGCTCCAATTTTATGTGATTATCTGTTTGTTTTATTGAGCTCATACATTGCCAATGAAAGAAAAAGTGAGCATATAATATTCTGGAGTGTTCCATGGATGATATACTTGCCTTGGATGATTATTTTCTGAGACTGGAGTTGCAGCCTTACTTGAGAACCCTGTTTGCAGGTGTCCTTGCTTGAGGAAAATATAAAGCCAAGGTCAGACCTTCCTCCTCTACTTGTACATCTCCGTGAAAGACAGCCTGAGAAGCTACACTACCTGGGTGTATCCTTTGGGCTTACTTTGGACCTATTTCGATTCTGGAGAAAACATAAGTTTGCTCCATTTTACATATGTGAAGTTCCAGTTAAGTTCTTTTTATTACTCTCTTGTTTTCAAACTTCTTCCTTCTCTTTTTAGCCCTATCTCTCACTTAAAGGCGTAATCCTGACCATGTTAGCACTACAATACTTTGTTATCAGAATTCTGTGACCGGCGAGCATACGTGTATGCTTCTAAAACCACTGGACACTGATGATATCGAAGTTAGCGGATCAGATGAATTGGGATTTTTTGGTCCTTACTATCGAGGTTTCCATTTCTCTTAAGCGAAGTTGTTTTACTTTCAGATCCAGAATTTTTTAGGTCAACAATTTGTTTTCTGTATGTCTGTAGCTTTCAGGTCAGCATTTGCTAGGCTTTTATGTTCTCCAAAATTTAATACGATGGAATACAAGCTTGCAATGAGGTATGTGTTTGATGTCTCAGCTCTCTATACAGAATTTCGCTGCTCTAATATATTTTGGCTACTCTTGCTTTTGCAGTATCTTGGATCCAAAACTTAACTTTACAGACGTAGAGCCTTCATCAACCATTTCACATGGTATATATGACGATATCATTAAATCTCCAATCAGTATGAAAAGGCTAGAAGCATATGTGAACCACCTGGCTGATCATCATCTGGTAAGAAGTCAGAATATTTACACAGTTTTGATGTTTTGGTCCCTCGATTAACATTTTTTAGGCATGAACGGGAAACTGGAAATGGTTAATCACAGCATCAAGTATTTACATTACTTTTAGTGTGCTTACTAAAGAGGCTGCATCTGATATATATTTTTTATTCAACAGATTTCAGATCTCAAACTCCCCCTTGCATACCTATACTTCCAGGAGAAGTTCCCAGTTACTTTATCATATGCCCAGGCCTCTGTGTTATTATGCATGGGCTTGCAGAACCAAGATGCTTCTTATGCTGAGGTTTGTTCTTCATCTTCTTATTTTTTGATTAGTTTGTTATAAGTGAACTGTTAATAATTCATTTGTCGATTTGTTTTCTCCTCTAGATACATACTTCCAGAAAAACTTTCGAGTTACCATCTCTCGAGTCTTGACCATAAAATTTGTCAATTTGTAGTTTGCAAACTGTGACACTTTATGTTCTGTTCATTTTTTTAACAGGGAGTGATGAAGTTGGAAAGACAGCAAATATTATCATTATTCATGAAAGTCATGAAAAAGTTCCAGAAATATTTGAACTCCGTATCTTCGAAACAATTCAGTGCGACCCTCCCCCCAGTCAAAGAAGTAAGTAATAAGTTTGACTCGAGTTTTTTGGGTTTCATCTCCCCCACCCAAAAACATCTGAAATCTACATTGATTAATTTCAAGCAAATGGGAAACTTCTGCAGAATTGTTTGTTAACCAAGACACATTTGATCCTGTAGAACTAATGCAAACAAACCACAATCACTAGTTCACTACAATGAGCCATTTTCTTAGATAAACATGCTTTACATATGTTTTTTTTTTTTGCTTTCAGGTCGAGTTAAAGCCACACTCGATTTCTGTGGATGAGGATCTTGATGAAGCTGCAAAGAAAGTGAAGGTTTGTTTGGTTCATTGTTCATGTGTCTATTGCTACGTGCCTGGTTTTTGGAACTTACATTTGCCTCGTGATTGTAATTTAGGACGACATGAAAGCAAAGAGCGATGGTTTGTTGAATCTGGACTTTCTCCAGAGGTACGCCATTGCTGACAAGGATGTAGATTTCGAGAGTGCTTTGCAAAACGGCAGCGGAAAGATACCCTCTGGTGGTGTAGTTAGTGTTAAGTCTAGTAAAACCAAAGCAGAAAAATACGGGAAGCCAAAAGACAAGAGCGACAAGAAAAGAAGCAAGGACGGCCAGTCTTCCAAATCATCAAAGAAGAAAAGAACATCTTAGTGGACTTGTATTCGAGATTGTTCAGTTTTGCACGGCGGGTATTCGAGATTTTGACTTAACCATGAATGGTTGAATAGTTTTTAATTATGATGGTGATGTAGTGTTGGTAAAAAGCTATAGCCTTTGGTAATCTTAGAAGGAATGTTGTATGTGGAACTACAAATTTTAAGCATGATCGTGATGCAACCCGAAAAACATAATTCATGGGTCTGAAGGAGTGTTTTAGACTAGAGGTGTAAACAAGACGAGATAACTCGTGAACTATGAGATAGACTTGGTCAACACTTTACTCGACACACTAACGAGTTTACAGCGAGCTTCCTGATGCTTGACTTGAAAATTTTGTGATATACTCGATTGTTTTTATATAATTAGTTCTATAATATAATATAAAATTTTATCAATAAAAGAAATTTGTTGTATGTTTGTGGATATAGAGTACATTACAAATTTCGCCCGTGAGTAGTCAAACGAAATAATTACATGTATGTGATTGTCATTTCACTTTTGTTATGGATGGGTCCCTTATATTAACACTGTTAACCTTAGCTCCGTTAAACCAAGGATATTTCGGTCCTTTTACTTAAAGACCAAAATTACTGACGGCCTCCACCATGGCACTCTGGTAGGCCCCCGTCCAAACCCATGAGGAACAAACAGTGAGAGAAATACAAAATTTTACTTTTTTGCAGCACATGATTTGTGAAGAAAACCTTATGGTTTTCTATTAAGGTCTAATTTTTTATATGTATATTATCATTAAAAGAAAATTAATTTATAATCAACTTAATAAGTTTAATAGAACTCACAACTTATTCGGTATCGGTCGTCTATATATGACTGTTTGGTAGAGTCTAAGAGCATATCTAACAAATTCTCTAGAATTTCTCTAAAATAAAGAACCAAAAGTCAAAATTCTTTAAAAAAAATTACATTGACCCTAACAGATTATGTAGCAAAAAAAAAACAATTTGCATTCTCGTTAAGCACTCTTCTATTCTATAAGGGATAAATATGATTGATAATCTCATTTAATCACTTCGATTTAATCCATATTTAAGAAGTTTCACTTAATCTATGGATAAAACTTTAATTCGAAAGGCTCCTTTCAATCCCTAATTATAACTAAAAATGTTTTTTTTAGTTACCTGATTGGTTTGAGCTTGGTTCCAAATATCAAAAGTACCAGGAGGCCCCATGTTCAAATCCAAAGAGGAATAAAATTCTCTTTGTGGCCACGGAGGTTCAAATGCGGTGACTCCGGTCTATCTGCAAAGCAAGTAGTTGTTCTGGGATTAATCGGCTCGCATAGTGGGTTGGATATCCAGGTTAATAAAAAAAACGTTTTTCTTAGAAAATTGATTAAAATAACGTTGATATTAGTTCAGTAATTGAACAACTTTCTTCAACAACATAGAGGACCTGAGGGTTCAAAAGACTTCGATTTAACCATCATTCAAAATCGAAATGCTTTTACAGCCGATTTATTAGGTTTTAAATGCTATTTCTAACAATTAGGGTTAACTAATTGCAATACATGATATACACATCAAAACTTTGACAATTCAACAAATTTTGCTTTTAGTTTGGACATGTAATCTACTTTGGTGATTAGCCACCAAATGATCCATTTGATCTAATTCCATTTTGAGTAAAAAGTATCCATCCATCAACTCAAAACAAAGAGTAAACTACAAATTAGATAGTTGCATCATTTCTGTCGCACGACGGTCGAGATCTAGGGTTTTCAAAAACCGTAACGCTGTCAATGACACCGATTAGACTGAACATACCTGCATTTGCGAATTGTAAAGTTGATATCCAGATCTGAAATGGCTTTGTTCCTTGGATTTCTGATTTTTGAATACATGATTTCCTCTTTGTTACTCGCATCGAGAAATCAAAACAAATGAACAATTGATGTCCATAAATCTGCCATACGAAATTTTATTTTTGGACAATTGAACCTCCTCGAACGGTTTGAATCACAAGTATTTGTGTTAAAATAACAAATATGAAGAATAAAAGACGTTATACACGTAATGGATCTTGTAATACTATTCTTGTATTCCTGACCAGATTCTCCCAGTGCTATATGGTTCATCTGCGGAAGAGATCGAGCTTCAAGAAATATTGTAATGTCTTTATCCATACACAAATGTATAACTCCCCAAGATTTTTTATTGTGTTCATATTCATAATAAATCCTCGTACTTACTGAATTCAAACTATTGTTCTTCTAACCGATAAAAATGACCAGAAACTGGTTAATGTGAGAAAATTATTAGGATGTAAAAACCTATGGACATTTTTTAGACATAAATTCATGATATTTCTGTAACTTGTGGCACAACTTAATGGTACAAGTTAATGAATGGTAAGCCGCAACTTGTGGCTTATAAGGAGCTCAAAAATCTCATTTTCTATCAATGTGAGATGGCTTATTACACTTGAACCCCTGATCTCTAAAAGGTTTGAAAAACGTATTCAAAAACATCGGAAAAAGAAAAAAAGAAGAAGATTTAAAAAGATTAGAGATATGGTCTTGTCTTCATCTATCTAGACTGGTTCGGGTTTTATTTATCCCGAAAAAGACCATTTTTATCTGAAATGATTTAAAAAGTATAGACATAAAACGTACTACCACTTTATGTTGACAAACGTCCCAATCCAAATGCCCATCTCGAATAAGTTGTCAAAGAAATTGTGTCAGTTGGTATTGAAGTCGTCTTATACAAGTTAAACAACACAAGTTTTGTTGGGTCATTTACCAAACATTTATCGGGTAACATTCTCTGTCATAAAAATGGATTTTTGGTAAGTATTTTTTAGATAAAAATCTTCTCCTTCACTTACTAAGGGGCTGTTTATCCAAATGTTTACCCGGTAAGTGCTTACCTATATGAGTAAATACTATAATTTACCTTGATGCGTAAGATTTTAATACATCAAAACATGTCGAATGCAACAGTTTACAGGGTAAGCACTTACTTGGGTAAGAGTCGTCATATTCACTTACCGGGTAAGACTCTACATCCTTCTCATCGCTCTTTTACCCGGTAAGATTCTTGGTCATTGTCATGTTCATCCTATGAGAATATTTATCCAGTAAACACTTACCAAACAAGTGTTTAGTAAACGACCCCTAAATAAAAAAATTCGTCTTTACAATGTTCACCGGGTAAGGTAAGTGACAATCAATAAACACTTACCCGATAAACGTTGGAAATAAATGTAACACCTTAAAGTTCAAATCAACAAGCTGGTCATATGACTTCGAATCCAACTCAAAATCATCATAGAAATTATTAGTAGCCCACAACTTAAAGCTTATAAAGAGCTCATAAATCTTATTTTTTATCAACGTAAAATAAACATACAACAAAAACCTATATTTACAAAGTCGGGTTGTTATTTAATAATATTATTCCTTATACAAATATGTATTTTTTTTAGAGTTATTAGGTATACACAAAATTAGAATCTGGGCTTTGAAAATGTAATCATCAACACTTGTTTGTGGTCCCTTCTCATTATTTTAACCCTTTTTCAGCAAAGGACCAAAATTCCACCATATTTCCATAATCAAACACTTTATCCTACGCTTTTTATCCTCTTTTTTTCCTATAAAAATTCAATTACATTCTCTATAATTTTTTTAAATAAATAAATAAAAGTTAAAATTTCAAAAAAATATTTTATAAATTTATTATTTTAATACATTTTTTTTAAATAACTCAATCTCATTGATGGGATATAATAAAAAAAATAATTTACACTTCAAGTTTTAGATAATTATTTAAATTTAATGTTTTCTCTAGTTTTCTTTATTTCAGACGACGATATAGAAAATATGTTAGATTAAAACAATATGATTCACGACCAATATTCTAATGCTTTCTCTAGTTTTCTTTATTTCAGACGACGATATAGAAAATATGTTAGATTAAAACAATATGATTCACGACCAATATTCTAATGCTTTCTCTAGTTTTCTTTATTAAAATAGTTTATATCTAAGGGTGGTGTTCGATTGGTTTGAGCTTGGATTCCAAAGGTTAAAAGTGTCAGGAGGTCTCATGTTCGAATCCAATGAGGAATACAAATCTTCTTGTGGCTACGGAGGTTCAAATGCGATGATTCCGAACGACCCGCGAAACAGATGGTCATTCTGGGATCAGTCGGCTCATATAACGAGTTAGACATTCATGTTAGTCAATTTCTAGTATAGAAAAATCACCTTTTTCTAGTAATTAAACAAAGATCAATTTCTTCTTACTTTTAAAATGGTTGGTGAATTACTTTGTTAACAACCCATTATCTCTCTCCTTTTCAAAAAAGAACAAATTACATGACAAGAAAAATAAAACTTTAAATTACATATTTAGCATCCAATGGAATTTTTATTACTAAACTGGATATCCAACCCACTAAGCGGGTAGTTTAATCCCAGGATGACCACGTGTATAGTTTTTCTTTAATTACAATATATCATATGTTTTTTTAATTTAAATATAAAATTAGGAAAACATTGAAAATGACTAAAATACCTCTCATTGAACTGAATTTAACGAAAAAAGTTAACAACCGTTGGACAAAGGGACTAAAATTGTTAAGAATTAACAAATGTAAGAGATCAAATCCGAATTTTTGAAGTTTTAGAACGATACTTGTTAAAAATTATAAACGTTATAGACAAAAATTAAATTTTTACTCTTATAAATATTAACTCAAAGTTCAATTGATATTTAATATAGTAAAACATTAATTTTAATTAAAAATTCATCCAAAATTATCAATTTTAAATGTGCAAATATAAATTTATTAAATGGGGTATCAAATAATATCATATATGGTGTAAGTTTTAATGCATAAGTAAGGAGTTGTTTATCCAAATGCCTATGCGGTAAGCGTTTATCAATAAGAGTCAACGTACATTATAATTTACTTTACCGAGTAGGACTATTTTCCATCAAAATGATATCGTATGCAATAATTGATCCGATAAACATTTACCGGGTACCTTCACTACGGGTAAGACTTTTCATCCTTATCATCGCTTTTACTTGTAAGATTATCAGTCCTTACTATATTCATTCGATAAGACTAATGACCCGATAAGCCTTACCAGAAAAAAAAAAAACGTTTAGCAAATTGGTGTTTTTTATATTCTAAATGATGATTATTGAAGAATTAGATAGTAATATTTTTTAATCAGAACGTAAATATTGTTATTAGACACATAACTTTTTAGACATGTTTAGGAGCAATAATTATATAAAGAATTATTTAATAAGAAACGATTGATTTAGGGTCTTAGGATACCTCTTTTAAA